TTACATTGTCAATTTGTTTTCTATTTGTTCCCAAGGTTCGTGTCGCATATTCTGCGCAGTTAAGAATTTCGGAAAATAAAAACTTTTTATAATATTTTAAAATATGCAGCCAACCTTATAGGGTAGAAACTAGCTGTCAAAATAGACTGTTTGAATAAATTTACCTATAGTCTAAAAGGAGTGAATGTCAAAGACAAATTTACACTGCAAAAGTTACTAAAAACTACCCCAGATAGCATCAGACTATCAAGTATATACTTACTGCAAGTGTTTAACCTCATTTTGAGTACAATAAGCTTTCATTACTTTTAAATGGGGTTATTAAGTACTTATTCAAAATAATGTGCAATGAATAAATATCTAATTCTAGGTTTATTTAACTTTTATATATATTTTTTTAAAGTAGGTAGGTACTTTCTACATAACATTGAAAAACTGAATGTGAATGAAATAATATACTAGGAACCAAACATATATAAATAATTGATGCCAGTTTTCACTTTTTAAAAACAATTTTATTGATTCACATTTTTACATTTAGCATTGAAGTAATTATATAATGGTGTTTTTGTTATTTTGAATTGTTGCATTTCTACGAACTACGTTTATTAAGTTACCGGATAATTGCCAAATAACTGATAACTGAACTACGTTCGTAATATATAATCTGCAGGTGTTCAAAGTAACAAAATCAGTTTTTATAATTTATAATATTATTGGTAAAAATAAGGGACAAATCATTTAACAATTTTCTGAATTATTCGATGAGTCAGTATCCATATCGCTCTCGCTATTATTAATTGATATAATTAAAGGTTCAATGAGATCGCCCATAATTCCGACAAGTGTTCCCATTTTTTCTTCCTCCTTAATCACATGTTCTACACATTTTTTCCAGTTCATATTTGTAACATTATTAAGAGCCTCTATTAGTAGTTCCCTTATACGTCCTTCAATTTATATGTTTTATTTTTGCTGGCTACTTCATTCTTCACCTGTGCCCAAATCAATTCTATAGGGTTTAATTCACAATGATATGGCGGTAATCGTAAGACAACTTTATTTTCTTTTTTTGCCATTTCGTCAGTTATATACAAATTATATTTATCTTTATTTTGGCTAATTAAATATAATAATTGCGATCTCACCATACCTTCTTCAAATTCGATATTTTTTTACTGTAGCCATGCCTTTATATCAATTTTTCTCGTTGATGTTGTCGGAATAGCTTCTACTTTTCGACTATGGTATGATGCATTGTCCATTACAATAACAGAATTATCTGGTATTTTTTTCAAATATTCAGAAAACCACTTTTATTTTTTAATCCCGTAGACAGCCCTTCATTGAACGCCTCACGTTTGCTTTTAATATTAGTATCAACCCATACCCTTTCTTTTGTATGACATTCATTTAACCATGTTTCATATAAATAATAAATAGGTCTACCTTCAGATCTAAACTTTTTAATTGATATCAAGTAGTCAAGTCTCCATCTCACTATATCATCACGTTCTATCAACACACTTTTACGACTTCGTTTTAAGTATCTGCAAAAAAAAATGTTTTTATTACAATTATACTTGCTCTGAGATATGTCTTCAACCGTACTTGAAATTAATTTGTTTCATAAATTTGTATAATGATGAACGGGACATCTGTGGCAAATTCTGACGACTTTTTATTTCGGTTAATATTTTGTCCAAAGTGGGGATCTCATTTTTAAAGAAAAAGCTGTGTACTATACGCCTTATGGAATTCTTCATTGCTTCATCCAAACATGTAACAATCCCAGCTCTTCCACCACAGTGTTTGAAAGTAGACACCCTTCCAGTAGATTTATACTGTTTTATGGCTCGATATACTGTTGATTTTGCAACACCTAAAAAAGTATAATGTGTAATATAGTTCAACAGAATAATGTTAATATAAATTTACCTAATGTCATCGCTATTTTGGATACAAGTTGGACAGTTTTAAGAGTAGGTTCATCATTTAGGCTTTTCTTGTACAAATTCAATATTGCTTGTTTTTCTGCCAGAGATAAATGCCCCAAACTGAGTTGTTTTCGTTTCCTTGGGGGCGACGGCGATGTAATTCCCGCGCCTGCCTCACTCGTGGTCGGCACAGCATCATCCATATCCAATGGAAAATTGGAAAAAACGGATGATAAACAATATAATAAGTTGTTTAGTTCTAATAAGAACTGATTTATACGTAACTGGGACAATAAATAGAAAGAAAAGCAGGTAAAAACATAATGACAACGAACTGATGATAACTAAGAGGCAAAATGACAACAAATGTCAAAATGTAGAATTTATTAGCAGTGTAAAGTGGGCTCGAAATTAACCAATAAGAAACCAACATTTTGGCGTGCAATATTCAAAACGCTCCTCTTAGTTTAAACATAGAGTATAGATACTAAAATGAATCCCCAACGAGTTACAGCCCCTTAAGTTAAAACAAAAAAAAAGGAAAAATGCAAATTTCTCCTAAATGTCTCTAGACATTTTTTTCAAATTTGGTGCACGACCAATGCTAATATGATAAATAATGTTTTGAAGTGAATATCAATAAAATGCATTGATGGCATGGGGGATAATAGGGGTAGTCGCTCTTTGTTTCACCCTGTATTTATTTCTTTATAGTCCATATTTTAATGACTTGTGCCATCTTTTTTTTTGGAACGACTAATATTAAACGAGATAAATTGATGGTATTGACTATTTCCAAGTAAAAAACGAGCAGTGCATTTTATTGATATTCACTTCAAAACATGGCTATTTATTAGCATTGGTCGTGTGCCACATTTGAAAAAAATATCTTCAGACATTTAGGAGAAATTTGTGTTTTTACTTTTTTTGTTTCAACTTCAAGGGGCTGTATGTAACTCGTTAGGGGTGCATGTTGGTGTCTAGGTAGTTCAAACAGTTTATTTTGACCTCTAGTTTCTGCCCTATCAGGTTGGCTACATATTTTAGAATCACCCTGTATAAAATAATTTATAAATTTATAAGAGCTCTCAGTGATAACATGCATTTAATACGGTATACAGGGTTGGAAAGTCCCCGTGGTTCATCGCCCGTTACGTGAGAGCGATAAAGAAAGTCATAGAAATCTGTGCGATAGAGAAAGACGGCTATAATGAAGGCGTCTAATAGTCAATAAGAAGTGGATCTTATTTGTGAAAGGGCGAAATGGGCGGTGACTATTAGACGCCTTCATTATAGCCATCTTTCTCTATCGCACGGATTTCTATGACTTACTTTATCGCTTTCACGTAACGGCCGATGAACTATGGGGACTTTCCAGCCCTGTATAGGTAATTTTTGAAATTAGGTAAATTATGAACTAATTACCCGGTAAATAAGTAATAGTTATTTACACCATAAAGGAGGTAAGTATTATTTACCAGTTGAGGACGATTTTGCGCCGGCAATAGAGTCCGAGTGTGGTAAATTATACTTAACTGCTGCGTGGTGCATAACATTTTATCTGATCCCAAAGTTCTTTATGGTTCATGAAATAAAGATTTTATTTTTTGACATTTTTTAATCAATTCATTCTGACATTATTCGAAATCTTGCAAAGTCGCCTTGGTTGTTTGAATTTTGCCGTTTCTAAGATGTTTATAAATAAAGCTATTTATTAGTTGCAATTTTGCTGGTTTTGAATTATTATTTATAATATGCAAACTTACTTTGGACGTCAATTTCAAAAATTTCGATGGCACTACAATAGTGACAATTCTAGATTCTAAAAATGCTGTCACGTACGTTTACAATTTAAAAATTACCAACAAATATGTCAAGATTATGTTGAAAATTAAAACTGAAATTTCACGTTTTTTTATGCTCTATCAAGCAGGTAGATGTTACAACCAACCAGTTGGTAAGAATACCCTTTCCATTATTCCTAATAAAATTGCACAGTTTTTAAAACTAGCACATCCTGAAACATATACAGGCCATTCATTCCGAAGAACATCGGCAACGTTACTCGCTAATACAGGAGTTGACTAGAGCATCCTGAAACATATACAGGCCATTCATTCCGAAGAACATCGGCAACGTTACTGGCTAATACAGGAGTTGATGTATTAGCAATTAAGAGACATGGTGGATGGAAATCAGCCACAATTGCAGAATGTTATGTTGCTGGCAGTCAAATCATTTTGAGAAAAATGTGACAATTAGTAAGAGCGAGGGGAATAATTATCCAGATTTTATAAATGTTACTAAATGTAATAACTGTACAACTACTATAAATATTCATTCATAATAATTAATAAAATGTAATGTTCATCAAATATTTTTATTTATTTGTTCATAAAATGTGCATTTATAACTCGAAATCGCTTTTTTCCCTGGGGATGTAAGTAAGTTATCTCCCGTTGTCCATAGTAACTTCCACTGCTACGGTAAAATCCACTTACTTCCTTAAAAACAATGTATTAATAGCCTATTTACTATAGTGGGAGCAAATAAATATATTTGTTTACAGGTAAAAATTTATTGACCCAATTTATTTTTTCGGGTTAATAAATCTACCAATATAATATTTTTGATAATTGTTCCAAAACAACGCCAACAGACATATTTTTAGAATAATAAAAACTTTAACTCAAACAAGTCGTATTTAACACCCTGCCAAAGATTCAGGACAACTTTTCAGCAGATGATCTGCGCTACCATTGAAGTTTCCGAGGTGCGGAACGGTGGTCTATTTTAAATTGTATTTAGCCTAGTTAGAAATAATTACATTAGAATAGTATCGATGTCGAGATATATTAGTTCCGTAGAAACAAGGAGAAACTATTCTCTAAATAGTAACAAGAGCAAAAACAACATTGTAGCTGAGTGGAATTTAGATTAAACTGGAGAATATGCTAGAATCGGATACCGCACTTACCGTAATATAATTCGATATTAAATTATTCGTATTAGTGGATCATAAATTGCTGACACACATCCCATCGTCTTCCTGTTTGAGTCCTTTTGCTTCGTCATTTCCTGATGGCATCCTTGTTTTATGTGTTACATAACCTCGACTTCCTATGTACAATGCATTTAAATGCTTTCTGTATAAATATTTAAAGGTGCATTATTATATTTCATTTCCGCAAAGAAATGTTAGTAAGGCCTTAAATAACGAATGCATTTGTACGTACAGGATGTAATATTCCACATTTAAGTTCTACAGGTGATCAAAAATTAAAAGAGTTCACATGCCAGTTGCATTATTTTTTAGTTATTTGCATTTGTTTTAGTATAAAATTGTATAAAGCGTTTGTAAATCTGTGTTCATTTTTTTCTAATTTTTGAAACGGGTAGCAATAACCAGAATATAAATTTTTTAAGAGATTGTTTAACTTTACCAAGTCCAAAAATCTTTGAAATAGTTGGTCATAGATAAGGAGGAACGAGTTAAGATTAAAAATAACATTATCATGATAAAAAAATAGGAAAAGATAAATATCACCTCGTTCAGAATCAACTTCCCGTACACTATTTTATTCTACGAGTGTTCACACCTTGCACCTGAAATAACAGTCTAGGATTGTTTCAGTTCTGGTTATGGTTCTGTGATATTTCCACCAAAAGTTCCACGGAGGTTTGGATAAAGTCTAATGGATTTAGGTCAGACGGCCCACTATGGGCGATTTCGATTTTTTTTTTGTTCAAAATCGTAAATCTCGGAGACAAAGTGAGCTATCAATGCGTATTTTTTTAAATTAAAGCTAAGCGTTTGTAGATTTGAGGAAAAATAATTCCAAAGGTATCCACCCCCTCCGGGGGTGTCATGAAGGGGAAGGGGTGGGAAAATCGAAACTTTATTACTATTTCACTGTATTTCGACGTTATTTTCCAAAAAAATGGTACCTTATGTAGTGAATTTTGTACTTACCAGTCCCTGGCTGACCAGGCTAAAAAGAAAATCCGATTTGTATACAATTAACCCTTATCCAGAGGTTAGGAATTTGGAAAACGGGGTAAATGTGAAAAAATGAGACTAACATTTTTAAATACCTTTTTTGAAACATTGAAAAGTATTCTAATAACTAATTATACGAATCCTTTATTGGACAAATAAGTCTCGTGGTACCACCCCCCTAATAGGGTTGAAAATGATGGGGGAAGGGGTTGAAATATTGAAAAATCATGAAAAACCTTTTATTTGGTTTTGTCGATCGCTAAACCCGATTCTGATGGATGTTTTTGCATTCCTCTTATTTTTTATCCAGATTTTTTTACCATAACCCCCTCTATTAGTTGGTGAAATTGGAGAGGGGAGGATTGAAATATTTAAAAATTTTAAAATGTCTTAAATCTGGTCATTAATGATGTACTTACCCTACGTTTCATATTTAGAAATAGTTTTTTTCATAAAAGCTTTTTGTTGTTTGTTCATAAAACTTAATTTTGGTTTTTCGTGTAAAAAAAAAACATTAGCAAATATTTTTATAACGATATTTATAGTTTGCAATGGAATCGCAAAATAATTACGAGCAATTCATGATATTNGATTTTGCAACACCTAAAAAAGTATAATGTGTAATATAGTTCAACAGAATAATGTTAACATAAATTTACCTAATGTCATCGCTATTTTGGATACAAGTTGGACAGTTTTAAGAGTAGGTTCATCATCTAGGCTTTTCTTGTACAAATTCAATATTGCTTGCTTTTCTGCCAGAGACAAATGCCCCAAACTGAGTTGTTTTCTTTTCCTTGGGGGCGACGGCGATGTAATTCCTGCGCCTGCCTTACTCGTGGTCGGCACAGCATCATCCATATCCAATGGAAAATTGGAAAAAACGGATGATAAACAATATAATAAGTTGTTTAGTTCTGATAAGAACTGATTTATACGTACTGGGATAATAAATAGAAAGAAAAGCAGGTAAAAACACAATGACAACGAACTGATGATGATAACTAAGAGGCAAAATGACAACAAATGTCAAAATGTAAAATTTATTAGCAGTGTAAAGTGGGCTCGAAATTAACCAATAAGAAACCACCATTTTGGCGCGCAATATTCAAAACGCTCCTCTTAGTTTAAAAATAGAGTATAGTGGTTACAATTCGTTGTAGATACCTATATCTTACCTTCATTCTCGGGTATTTAAATCAGTTATTGCAACAACTTTCAAATTAGATCTATGGCGAATTGTTTGAATTTTTTTATTATCCGAGAAATTAATATAACGTACTCAATAAGCTTTCACATTTTTTAAGCAAAGGTCACTTCTACCAAGTGCTTGGGGTCATACTCAAAATTTCTATAAAAGGTAACAACACAAGCCATATTTATTTTTGTCTACCTGCGTATAATTTAAAAATCATTGCGAAAATTATTATTTAAATTCTTATAATTAAAATTTTATTAGTAAATATGTTGTACCTCTGGATATTTAGGAAACGTGCATTTTGTTGTTTTCTTACTGTTACAGTCCTTTACTAACACTTTTTATTAACAAAAGTTTATTAACATTAAAATTAAATAAAATAGCTCCTGATACTCAAACACAACAAGTACACAAACAAAATGGCGTTGATTGTTTCGTTTGCTAAACAACATACAATTGATGGTTGCATAAGCATGCATAAGCACGCCAGAAACTTGTTTCAAACTGTCACATTATAGAAACTAAACCGACTGAATTACTATTAGCTTTAACCATAACAATAACCATATGTTCTAAAAGTTATTGCTTCTGTGTTTGGAATAAATAGTTTAATTTTTAATACAGAATAATTAAAACATGTAGCTTTGCAACCCACATGTAATCATTTTACTTACCAGTACTGCCTTTTGGCTAATGTTTTTTACTCGCCAATACTAATTTTTGGCTAGATATAAGCATAACATCAATGGCGTCAAGGTTGAGGCAAATAATATAGAAATACTATAGAAATAAAAATTGTGCGTAAACATAACGGAAAAACAAAATCAATATTCATATTAAAAACATTTTATTTATACATATGTTGTAATATTTAACAATAAATGAATATATTAGTTTCTTTAATAGCTTTAATAAGTAGAAATCTATAAACTTTATAAACAAACCTTTAAGTTAAGCGCAGTAGTGAAAGGCTCAATTAATTTATCTTTTATTTGATGCATCGTTTACTACTTTGGAAAACGAATCACCGTCTTCAGCTCTCGACTTTATATTTATGGGTATTAGTTCATTCCAAAGGGACAATTTCTTAGTCGGGTTGGATTTAAGGCTATAATCATACGTTACATTAAATTTTCCAGGCTCTACTTTCACCGGTATGTTATACATAAACATGTATGGGAGCAAATTCTTTAATACAGCTTCGTTGGTTTCAGTTACACTAATATGGCAATTTGTGAGTAATTCTGTTTGGGTTTCTATCTCCTTCGAAGGCCGAGGAAATGTAGTCAATAAATTCTTCAACAATTCGTTTTTGGACGTCTTTAAATTTAGATTAGTAAAAACATTGCTGGATATATTAGCTATTATAGGAAGTTGTTCTTTATCGCTTACTGAAAAAGGTAGATCTTCATCGTCTGATAAAATTTCTATGATACTTAGTCTTTCAGGTGGGAGATCTTTAAAAAGTGTCTCTTTGATAGAACTGTTGTTTGAATTCTTTTCACGGTGTGTCATATACATATTTTTAAGTGGCGAAAATCCAGCAAATGCTTCCGAATAAGTTTGTCTGATAATTCTATTGTAATCAATTTTTACCAAGCTAACATATGGCAGATCGCTCATCATTTTTCTAATTAAGCACACGTTTTCTATATGACGCTTTTTGTTTTCTAAACTGCGGAAACGGACTTTACAGAACTGACACCGCATGTGCTTGTTTTGGTGCTTTTTCAATTCATATTTGTTGTACAGCACCGAGTTGCAGATCTGGCAAACAAACAAAGGGACAGATCTACCTACGCTAGTTAATGACACATGTTCATCGTTTTCATTTAACTGATTTTCATTTCTGTTAGCCAAGTTTTTGTTAGGACTGCTAATTTGCAAGTCAACTTTATCATTTGCTATTTTTATTGGTTGAACAATCATTTTTTCCTTCAAGGCACAGTATTTCTCATCTACTTTTTTACTGTCATTTTGAAATTTTTTTAGAGTACTTTTAGAAAATATCCCGACATCTACAGATTTTTTATTTGAACAATTTGCAGCTGCTATAAGTTTTTGTCTTCTTGTGGTTAGGCTACAATAAACTTCAGTTTCGTTTAAAAAGGTTTTTTTACAATAGTGTGTTTCTTGTTGACATTTTTCAGTTACAAGTCTTCTTTTTTTGCTAGGTATAGTAATACATGTATCAGTGCAATGCACTGTTTTTAAGTGTGGCTTTTCAACTGCTTCTGTTGACGGGCTTTCTATTAGCTTTCTTTTCACATTAGAATGAATAGTAGATTTATTATTCCTCTTTACTGGACTTTTATTAGGAGTTTTACAAACTTCACTTCTATTATTTTCTATTTCGTTAAAATTAGTAGCACTTTTATAATGTTGCTTAGTTTTAATAGGTTCATTAATTTTGGTTATCTTAATTACTTTTGGTAGAGTCAATATCTTCTTTTGCTTAGGAAATTTTTGAATTTTACTAAATTTCGTTGGTTTTATAGAACGTTTTACAGAATCCAATGCGTTCTTTACGTGAATGTTAAAGTTTAATTTAAGTCTTTTGAAGTAATTCTCTACTTGGTTTATTTCCATCTGTACAATAGGCGCAACATCCGAAGTTAAGCAGTCTTTAGGCAGTTTAATTTTTGGATATGTGCGAGACAATTTGATTACGCTCGGGTGTAGTTCGTAAACCGATGTTTTCATAAAGTCAGGTTCGATTTTTGGTAACTCTTCGCTTTTTAAAACACCTTTAATAGAAACTTCAGTATTTGGAATGTAATATTTTTTATCAACCAAAAAATCCATGCACAGATTCTAAAAAACAAAAACTTTCAGATAAAATTTTAAATAGAAAGTCACATTACGTTTGTCATTAATTTTTCAAACGGATGATGTACCTTAAAAATATAAGAAACAATATTAAATTTTCTTTCTTATATTTAGATGACAATTCAATTAATTTAATCTTATATCTAGCAATATCAGGAAATGTTGTTACCTTCAAATGTTTGTCGGCTTTCAAACACTGGCTTCTGAACTGGAAAATTTGAATACTGAATTGGTAGCATTTTCCACAAACCTTCTGGGAGATAATATCTTTAGTATGGATCTGGAATAATAATAATAAACATAAAGTCCCTAGAATGACCAAGTAGCGCAATCGATTGTGTTCGTTTGGCCCAAAATGTCTGTTGGAAATATGTCAATGTGTGCTATTTATATAAAAAAAACTGTCGAAATTGTTGTAGTACTTTAAGTTAAAATATTGAGATATTACGTAATAAACTGTTCAAAACGTGAAAATTATACAGAGCCTTCATAAATGATTACAAGCCACATGACCAGTAATTTTGTTTTGAACAGTAATTTCCTTCTTGTTGGCAATTAAATTTCGTTAAAATTAAAATAATAAAATCAAGGTTACATTAAAACAAAACATTCCGTTTCACCGGCTGTCATTGGTGTAACTTTTCACGAGATTCTATTCAACTAATCAGCGATTGCATTATCTCGAGCGTAAACGTATCGGTTTGTTATTGTTCATTGTAAACGAATCATTAATATTGGTGACGCCAAGATATAGGGAATTTTCGTTACCGATACCAGCCCTGCAATGTTGGTTGCCTAAGCTCAGCGTCACGCGCCTTGTAAACATTTATGAAGGATCTGTATTTCAAGATTTACAATTGGGATTTTGCAACAAAATGCAATTTCAACTTAAAATTTTTAAACGACTGAATTTTTTATACTTACGAGTATTCAATACTTTTAGTTTTATTGTACAATTTTATTTTGATAATGTGAATTAAATTATGAGTAGAGCCGTCACAATCGGCCCGCTAGCCATTGACACCGTCGGTCAGCCACGTGAGCTGCCTAGCTGTCGGTTTAGTCGCCGATTTCCCTGTAATCAAACGATTTCTTTTACGGTTTAGTTGTCTTTTGATGCATGATTGTATGTAATTATGTCGAGCGCAGTCAGTGCTAAAAAACAGCAAACAATTCATACTATAACGACTAAAAAAAAACAAATTTACCGGTAAGTAGCTATAAAATTATTAACAAAAACTATTCAGGTGGAAAACAAAACAGATATATTTTTTGAAATAGAAACGAATTTTATGAAAGTAATGGAAAATATCTAAAAATACCTATTTACGCTGCTCCTTTCGTTTAAATGTTTGATGTTTTAATTTTTTATAAAATTAATAAAAAAGCAAGGAGTAATAAATTATGTCCTCAGGACAGTAACATATCTTTATCAGTAGTAAATTTATCTAACAAAGCAGCACTCAACACGTGTTATTTCAAGAGCATGAGGTCATAGGAAAAGTAAAGTAACGAACAATACTTTCTTTTACTAAAAAATATAAACAATAATGTAATTCAGTATATACATACTTGTATATGTATAAAAACGTTTAAAATAAATATTAAATAATAAGTACATCTTAAACAGTGCATAACACATGTATAAAAAAAAAACTGGCGAAAACCATCAGACTCAATTTATGTTTGATTTAATCTTCATACTGATTGCATGTATGTACCATTTGATGTAGTAGAACATTTCATTCCTTCTGAAATAAATACAACCCCGAGAGGAAATTATATTGTTCACATTATTTTATGTTAATGATCCGCACGCCTTTGCCTTTGGTGCGCGGCCAATTATGACAGCTCTAATTATGAGTACAACTTGATTTTTCTTTACCAATAATTATTGATACAAATATTCAAATTTATTGTGATTTCATAGTTAAGCATTATAAATATATTTATCCATTTATTTATAAAACAAAAACTTATCAAATAAAGTAAAAAAATTGGTGTAAATTTCTTTTGGTCTTTGTAAAATAACTATTCAAGACAATAAAAAACATACATTATTTTTAATGTACCTACAAATAATGTAAAGTTACAAAACACTAATAGGCAACCAATCAAACATTTGTATTTGTAGTTCCATCCAATCTTCCTTACGGACAACTAAAGTTAGCGCTTATATACACCTATTTACCTAAAATAAAAAATTAGAGTATATCCGGTGAAGTCAGTTATTTTAAATGAGACTAATGAAGCTTGTTCAATGATTTCATTTAGATAAAAAAATATTGATATACTTAGGTATTTTCGAAATATATAGCTCTTAGTACCTACCTAGAAAGAACCTAATATGTATTCTATTTCCAATTAAAAATTTTTATTTATAATTTTGCAGCCGCGGCACTCTGATTGGCAACGAAACCCTGTCTGGCTTCTCCTAGACTTTAGTGCACGTGCAAATTAGAAGGTTACTGACCCAGCCACAGGTTAGCCTGGGTCGGAAACACGTACCAAGTTGTTTATTTGTCTCCGTCCGATTGTTTTTTATATTCTATTATTTACAGTCAATATTTAAATACTAAATACATTTCACCCTCTCTTTATAATTTATCTAGTGAGTGTTGGTTTTTTATGTCATTATTTCTGTAATGAAATTGAAATGGTTATGAAATGAAATTTAAATTATTTGAACTCTTGGAGTTTTGTATCTTCAATATTAAATGTTACTTAAAGTGAAACAGAGCTAATTTCTTTGCAGCCATAATAGTCACATTTGGTCAGATGAAAACCCGCACACTACTCGTCTGTTTAGCTTTGAGAGGAGATTCGGTGTCAATGTATGTGCACGAGTAAATGGCGATCGTTTAATTGGGCCGCATTTTCTACCTGAACATCTGAATGGGCCGCGTTACTTTCAATTTTTAGTAGAAGGCTTACAGCAAATTAAAAAATTAACACTATGATGTTAATAAAAACTGATTTTTGGCAAGGCATGCTCAGACCTCGAGGTTCTTGCTGGGCAACAATAACAATTTAATATGTTGATTGCATAATTATAAAAAATAATTTATAGCATTTTAAATTATTATTGGCTGATGTTTATTTATTGTCTTTATGAGCGAAAATATATAAATATGGCAACGTTGCATGTAGGGTGCCTAGTTCATATCGTAGCCGTGCGTAAATTGTGAATAACCGGCTGACGTCAGCCGGTCAGTAACAGTCTGAAAAGGGGGTTAAATAATGATTTGAAAATATTTTTTTTCAGCTTAAATATGCATTAAAAATTTTTTAATCACACCATCGCATTATACTCATTTTTCTCTATCTGCTCTTAAAATTAATGACATTATGACTGGATCACCCTGTATACAAATTATTATAATTTTTTACTTTTAACAGAAAACTTTTTTAGGGACGCCTATGAAACTCATTAAATTTGATTGCTCGTTTTTTTTTATACAAGTTCAACTGACTTCGGAAAGACTATACACGAAGACATGAAGTCGTGAGGAGGTTGGACAATTGTAATGCATCAAATCTGCTGTCAAATAACTCCATGAATCTATATTATTTATAAGTTCTTCACAAATTAGAAAATGTCCTAATTTTCGTGAATTTCTTCATGAAGTTACGAAGTAGCAACAAAAATATTGAGGTTAAGTTATTTGTTTACATAATTATGTACTTTAGCACGATTTTTTAAAGAGTGATACATGAGCTGATAAATTACGATTACGGTTTGTTTCCATGTTATCTAATTAAAAAAATAACTAATTCTTGAAAATATATTCATTTTCATTTGTCTATATTTACTATGACTTGCCTGGAAAGTTGGTAGTAGCACTAGTAGCTGTTTTTACTTCAATGAAATTCAGTTTAAAACAATGTAAAATCAAACCCTCTATGAATAAATTGATGAATACATTCACAATGTAAAACAGGTATACTAAAACTTTATTTTTAACAATGTTAAAACAATGTTGGGTATATAACGTAACTGTATAGACATATTGTAGATGTTATGCGAATATCAGTAAATATTTCTAAAAATGCTAAATATTACTTTGAAAGTGAAAGATCACAAGATATTATGTGACATTATTTTATAATACTTTACAGAAGATTTTTAGTTCAAGGTTTTACTTTACTTTGTACGTTTGTAGATACAAATGTAAACGGCAAAATTTTTGAAATTTCCGTTACATCGATGCTTCCCACCTATACAAATAGCTTATTATGATTTAAATTCGTGATTTTTTTTCTAGAAAGCAACGTTGGACAAACCCAAAAGCTCAACTATCTTAATTTTCAATTTTTTGCACACTACTGCCGCGTAAAGTGAATTTTCCTCTTCGGACATTTTGAATTCAACTGCAGATTTAATAAATATTATTAGTTGGGTGGACGTCCCAAAAGTTATATAAAAATGTTAATAAATAAAATAACAAAATATTAACCGAACATGAAATCAAAGAATATTTAACATGTAAATATATTACTACACTCTACTTTGAGGCTGTCAATTTATTCTTATTTTTTACGTATATCATTTCCATTTTTTTTTAATTTCAATCTATAACTAAAAGAACATTATCTATTTGATTCAGCAGTAGACACATTGCACTTTCTATAGCAAGTTAAAAACATTTTAGCTATAAATACTTTCAACAAACGGTAGAAATTCGAGAAACTGCAATTTACTGAGCAGAATTACTGAATAGCCTATAATTATTGAAATGACCTCGTATAGGTAGAAAGAAGTGTCTAACCTGAAAGAAAATTTAATCAAAACCTACCTCGATACCCGTCGTGATGGCAATAACGTCCTTCATATTCAGTTTCTTATTCTTCTCGTCAAATATATATACTAAATCGTCTGTGGCTAAGCACAATCTACATATATTTTGCACTGCCATAGCCGTTCACAAACTCAGTCACAAAATGTCTACGTCACGATCTACAAGTGTACGCCTACGGTTTCTATCAAAGGTGTTGGTGCCGTTGGTTGGTGGAATCGTTAGAAACCAAGCGTTCTGCTCAGAAAATTATTTTAAATAACTGTTTGGTTTTAATTTACTGTTAGTAGGTACTGTTACACTTTACACTGCTTATATTACAGCTCTCTCGTCTACCGCATTACTGTTGGCTTGGCAGTTTGTGATGATTAAGCTAGCTAAGCTCTGTAATCGTTTAGGAATATTTAAGCGGCGGTATTGGCAGTTTGAAAGGAGTGGGAGTTTTAAATAATGAACAAAGATGCTTAGAAATATACTTCCTAATGTATTTATTCATATTTAATTTAATAGAAATTTTAAGTCAAAACCATAAATTTAATGATTTACATATATTTAATAGTTCAGGTACATGTACAGTATGTATCGTCCACGGTTAGAGTAAAAAAAAGGAAAAACTTTTTTATTTTACATTTTACGAAAAAAAAAACACCTTTGATAAAAAGTTTTGTTGTATGCGGTTATGGGAAAATTGATATTTCATTTCATATACGGGGTGTCCAAAAAAATAAAAAATGATAAGAGTAAACTACCTTCAATTTTGCTCTTCCGAAAATGTGTCACTAATACCTGTTTTACATTGACAATTTATTCATCAATGTAGTTCTTCTAGACGAAGTTCTTCATCAATTAATTCACGAATTTATTGGTAAACAGTGTGGTTTTACACTGCTACAGACTTTGTCAAGTTTTTTGACGTATGAATCAGTTCTACCAATGAATCAAAGAAACAAATAAATTTCAAAAATGTCACCTTTCCACTCATAATTCTAGTGATACAACAGCGGTACCGTTCTGACAGATATTATTATATAAATATTAGTTTTTGTAAATAACAAAAATTAGTAAAAACAATGCAAAACTAACACGACGCCACACAATTATTTACATATTCCAATAATATAACCTCATTACTGATCTGAGGCTGGAAATCCGTTGGGTTTGGTACTTCTGAACTTCACGGAGAAATTGACGAAATTTAGAACATGCTCTAATTCCTCAAGAACTTGATAAATAAATTGATGAAGTTATTTGACAGCTGATTTAGTGCATTACACTTGTTCAATTTCTTGATGAAGCGACTTCATCAATTAATTGATCATTCGATGGGATTTGGGAGCAAGTTTTATCTAAAATTCTAAAATTGATAAGCATTATGATTTGTTTTTTTATTATAAGTAATTGTGTTCTGCTAAAAAACTACCTCAAGTTTTTGCGGGTTTTTGATCCGATACTTAGTAACTTAACCGAGATAGATTAGTTAAAACTGCCATACCCTGAGAAACGTTTTGTATGGGTAGGTACCTATCTGAAACGAAAAGAGATTGTAAGCTGAAATTTACTCTATCGTTTTTTTTCGCTCTAAAATCGGGATTTGCAAGCATATAATATCGGTTTTTATCTTCTCTATTTTCTTCATTATCTTCTTTATTTTCGTTGTTAAAGATAAATAGTATGAGCTAGTATGAGGAAATTTTCTTGTGATTTCGAAACTGTATCTAAACGATTGAATACCTATTATACATTTCAGAAATATAAGTCAAACATAATTTTTTTTGACAGAACACTGAGAATTATAAATTTGGATAGAGGGCTTCCTTAATATTATAATAAGGTTTCAAAGGTCTATTTGGAATAATAACACAGATATGGCAAAAAGAACTTATAAGTTTATCGTTCGCATAGTCTTTTGGCTACAACTACGCGTTACCACGAAAGCATGCTGTCTCAAATTTAGCTTGGAAACATGCTAACTAAAATTGTACTTGGAAAACATGCTAGCTATCAGATCTTTAAGAAAAAACATGCTATCTCACAAAATTAAAATTGACTAGAAATTAAGTTGGCTGCATTGATTGGCGTTGAAATGCACAATGATTGAAACCGACAAACCGTCCACTTATAATAAACTTATATAATATATTTTTCAAAAAGTAAGGGATATTTATGTTCAGGTACACTGTTTATTTTATTTCATTCAACATTTTTCAATTAATTTTGTTAACTTACCTACTGTTATAAATGACAAAATTGTTAATTAAAAAAATAGAATATGCAGTATGCTGCAACAACTGCATTACCCGACGTTTTTTGAAATAACAAAGTATAAAAAAATAGTGTATACCTTGGCTACTTTCTTTTACTCATGATTTCGGAATCATAACGCGTTACGATCCGAAATCTAGCAATCTGATTGGTTTACAGCGGATCGTAACACGTTATGATTCCGAAATCATGAGTAAAAGAAAAGGGCTCTTAATTCATATATAAAAATGTTTATTATTACTTAAAATTATTATTCGATTTTTTTCATATAAGTGCTATGATATAAAAATTAATAGCGCACTCTTTATAGTCACTACACTTCCTTTTATTCTAAAAATAATTTTATGTCTTAATGCGGACTCCAAGGAGACTGCAATAAAAAGGATTATAGTGGACCAGGCTAGGCTCCAGATCCCGGCTCCGAATCGTTCTTACCTGGACAATATGCCCGTGTAGAGCAGCTATACATGGATCGTCTTGGCAATTGCTCTTAACTTGCATTCAGATAAAGTCTTGATTTTAACAAACAGCTTTGTATTTATAAATACATACTTAAAAATATCAAAAATGTTTCAGTTCTTTTGTGAAATACGGTTTTTACAATCGTTACTTTTCATAAAATTTCATTAATAGAGTTAATACCAAAATATAAATACATATAATGTATAAAGTTGAATGATACATTTGTACGATAAACATGTGTGCATGGGGAGCCGCCGCCATTATTCCATGGCTAGAAATTGGCCTCAATGATTTGGGATCGAGGGGGATTATCCCTCTGTATCCTGCCTCATCTCGTGTAGGCCTGGACAGCCTTCGTAGGTGGGCCCCATCCGTCGTCTACCCCGACCGCAAATGCGGCCGGTGTAGGCGCTTTGTGGGACCTCCTTTTGTCCTGGCTGGGCCCCGCCGGCTAGGGCCCTTTCTTCTGGCGCTCTTCTTGCTTCGCCGGCTCGTCCCTGTAAACCCCGGGGGTGGTGTCATGTTTATGGTTGGATAAGGTGGTGCGGCTATGCAGCCTGGGATGCGCTTTGCTAAGGTAGCCCTTAGGCTAGCGCGGGAAGGGAGAGGTAAGGAGGGTATGGGGGGGTGTGTATGTGTGTGTGTGTGTGTCGTTGTCTTCGTTTCTTGATCCTGGCGGTCTCTGAAACAGAAAAGGTTAGCGGGCAGGGGGAGGGGATGTCGTTGGGGTGGTCACCCAGGGTCAAACAGTTGGTGTCTAGGTCTTTTGTGTTTGTCGGTCACGTCGGGTACGTAGTCAACGGCTTGCTTGAGGAGGGGATTGTCATGTCTAGGCATGGGGAGCCGCATATCATCTCCTCTGCGCCCGTCGCATCGATATCCAGCAGATCATAACGTACCGGTAATAAAATGTCGCAACCTGCATTCAATTTCCAAAGTCTATGCAAGCACGCGGCTACCGTACCTTTAATAAGCCATTTGTTTTTACTGAGGTGCAGTAAGAACGATTCGGACCCGCAGTTTGGGGTCTAGCCTGGTCCACTATACATACAGGATGTCCCATAAGCATATGATCAAAAAGGTACTGCGACATTCTTTGGCTCAAAAGAAGACGGTTTGACCTAACTTTTATCAAGAAAAAATGTCTGGTTCCTCTGCTATTGACTGTCAAAGTTCTTGAAAAAAATATATGTTTTTTGTAATATCTGAAGAATGTTATGATGGATTTTAATGAAACTTGCTGTGGACTTGTACCTAAGTAAAACTCAAGTTTTGATTAAGCAACCGCGTCCATCTGCCTTGTGCTAGTGGTAAATTCTTGAGTGTCTTGGTACAAGAATTACCAGAACTTTTTATTTGGTCGCTGGAATTAATTCATTTTATTTTTATTGATGCATCAGTCCTTTTTAGAGATTTTCGTGCTCTTGGTAAAATCTTGTAGCATTCATAGTTTTTACGCAAAATTTTTTTTCAATTTTAGACAATCATTATCACTACTGCTCAAGTAAAACAACTACTCACTACAATTACTACTATCGTAGTAAGCGATGATGTCATTTTATAATAAATGAATTGTCAATCAGTTCGTTTCGAATGGCGTTTTCTAATGAGATGACCGACTGATCAGTTAGGGTTTTACGAAGACAACTTGGGTGGGAGTGTACGCGTCTACGCGGCGCGATACCCAAATCGACTGGTTCCAGATTACCGATTTACATGGATTGAAAAGAATTTGCGGGAGACTGGGCAATTTGGTGTTCGAGCCGTTGACCGTGTGGGTCGTCCTCAAGTTCGAAATGCAGCCGTTGAGGAAGACGTTTTAATAGGGTCGCTGAAGATCTAAATATCTAAAGATCGCCGTCTGACAGTGGAATTTGGCGTACCAAAAAGTACAATTAATCGCATCATAAAACAGCAGCTCCTCCATCCTTACCATGCGACGTCTATTCAGGAGCTTTTACTACACCATTTTGAGAGATTTCAATTTTGCCCCTTTATTTAAGGAGCGCGGGCACGTGTTCCAAATTTCACCAGCCGAATTTTATTTACCATTACGCAGAAGAAATGCCTCATGCGAGGCGTATTAACCACTTTCAGGTGAAATTTCCAATAAAATGTTTGGGCCGAGATCATCGGTGACATCCTTCTAGGTCCTTATGTTATGCCGCGCCGCTTGAATAGCGAAAATTATTTCAATTTTCTGACGAATACCTTTCCGGTTCTAATGGAAGATGTCCCTCTCGATCTTCCTTCTCAGATGTAGTTTATGCACGATGGTGCTCCTCCGCACTTTAGTGCAAATGTAATTGCACATTTAAATAATATTTTTCCACACAAGTGGATCGGAAGAAGAGGGAGAGATGTTCCTGTCGAATGGCCCCCCAGGTTCCCCGACTTAACGCTGTTAGATTTTTTTCTATGGGGAGCTTTGAAGAATAAAGTTAACGCTACTCCTGTGGAATCCAAAACGAGGCAGACGTAATACGGGATGATCCAAAAGTGTTGAGGAGGGCTCAATTCAATTTCAACTGAATGATCCAGCTATTGGGCGTATCGAATAAGTCTTGTAATTTCACCATCATCTATCGTATCTATGCAACTATCATCCAGTTTC